CGATGATACCCAATTTTAACCCTCGCCGGCACAGGGGGGTTGATGCAACCCCCCCCCTAAGGTTTTTCGCGAATAACTCGCGTAAAAAGCGGCCGATCGCGACGAAATTTTCAGTACCCTCGCATTGATCAATTTTACACCTACCCTGAAAATGTTTTGACCCTGACCCAAATGACCTTTGACCTGTGACCTCTTTTCCGAGACCATGTTTGGCCGGAATCGCGATTCGGCGTATGTCGGCTTGCATTAGCCGCGCGCTTGCAAGCTTTTCGTGGTTTCAAACGTTCAAACATGTGATTTGATGTTGCTCCCATACATTGGGGTGGGTTTCAATCTTTAAGGTCAGGTGAAGGTCAGGTCAGGTCATTGACCTTTGGTGACCTCGGGTGACCGGTTCACTTTTTCGAGTTTTACATGTTTCTAGGCCAGTTTTTGGAGCTGAATTCGAATTTAGCAACCATTTGAAAATTTACGAAGTTGTTTTGGTGCCTTCGTAACATGTTACGAAGCTGTCAGAGGCGGTTGACACGTATTACGAATACCCGTCACAACCCCTACCGGTTGACCTGACCTGACCCGACCCGACCTGGTCTAAATGCTTAAAGACATCATCTCTGATCAAAACTAATACGATATTCGTGATCAGCACCCCGGAAAACCACATAGCAGCCACACTTTACGACTTTCTAACAGGTCCCGATTTTCCCGGTTCTTGGGTCATTGACCTGACCTGGAAGGTCACCCGATGACCTAGGACCTTAAAATTGGGTATCATCGGCTTCCTCTCGTGACGGGCAACACGCTCGTTTTTTCCGCGAAACTCTAGCTCGATCAGGGGCCAAACGCGAGGGGGGGGGGGGGGGTCGTACCAACCCCCCTTGTGCCGTCGAAGGACGCAAAATGGCCTGTGCCGGCGAGGGTTAAGGTCCTAGGTCATTGGTTGACAGGTCAATATAACTCAAAAGTCGGGGAATCGGGACCTGTTAGAGCTTCGTAAAGTGAAGCTGTTATAGGGTTTTGCGGGGTGCTGATCACGAAATTCAAGTTAGTTTTGATCACAGATGATGTTTTCGTGCATTTAGGCCAGGTCGGGTCAGGTCAGGTCAGGTCACATGTTACGAGTGAACCAAAACTACTTCTTAAATGTTCAAACGGTTTCTAAATGCGAAATCAACTCCAAAATCTACCCTAGAAACATGTAGAACTCGAAAGAGTGAACAAAGGTCATCAAAGGTCAGTGACCTGAATGATCTTCACGTGACCTTGATACCCACTAGAATCCATGCGATCAACATCCTTTCACATGTTTGATCGCTTAGAGCCACAAAAAGACAATAAAACGCGTTCTACTCGAAATACGCCAAAACGCGATTCCGGCCAAACATGGTCTCGGAAAACAGGTCACAAGTCAAAGGTCTTTTGAGTCAGGGTCATGCAAATTATAGGGTAGGCGTAATATTGAATAACTCGAGGGTACTGAAAGTTTCGCCGCAATCAGCCGCTTTTTGCGCGAGTTATTTGCGAAAAACTGAGGGTAGGAGGTCTGTTCGACACCCTCCTACAAGTGCGAAGGTTAAAGGGACCCTCCCACCTTCAAAAAAGTTTATGAATTGGCATGAAAGTGATGTCGCTCGGTTCAGAAAGAGCGACAACGAATATCTACCAAATTTCACCGAAAAATATTCACCGGTTTTCAAGATATTAGACTTTTACTTTTGTTTACTTTTTTGGGATCTCCGCTGTTTCTAGCGACTTTATTTTAGAAGTGCGGCGTTTGCGGCAGATGTTGCGCGCAAATAGCATATACCACCGCGTGCTACAAAACGTTTTAGTCAAACTTAATGACGGACGTTCGAAAGCCTGATGACGTCATCAGATTCCCGTAATGGTTAAGAGATAGGGACCACGCTGGTCCCACCCTGCAAGTAAAGGGAAGAAATTTCTTGAACACCATAAAGCTGCGGGGGTTGCGACCAGGATAAATGGTGGTTTCTGAGCCTGGCCGCAAACTTGGCTATCTCAACTCAAAACTAATGTTAAGGTGGGAGGGTCCCTTTAAGGTCAGGCCGTTGACCAATCGCGTCAAAAGTGAACCTCTGTAAGGCCCCAAAATGTCGCGACGTCGCAGCACCCTTCGTGCCAGGGGACTTTTCAACGGGGAATGAAGCTTATATGATCTAGCCTACTATCTCCCAGAGGCCTCACAACTTGTATGTAGCTATTTCGTATTTTTCTTAAGAGTCACCTGAAGTCAGGTCGGTCACGCAACCTCACGATTATTAATCAATTGGGAAATATGAAAACTGTTATTTTGGCGCCGGGAGCCATCTAAAGCTGTCCCAAGCGCATGAATTTGCGATTTTATACAATTTTTGCAAGCCCCAGCATTCACTTTTCCATTCTTAAAGTTAGGCGACTTCATTTATGACGTCACTAAGGTCACAGGAGATTTCACCAAAAAGTCCCGATCAAATTGAGCTAGCGAGTCGGGAAGCCACCAGTGGACTTGTAAGGACCTACCGCATCGAAGAAGCGATATGACCTCCTTGAGTCAGCCTCGTGGCCTGAGTGGCTCTGCCCTGACATGACCTGAGGTAAACACCTTAAATTGACCTCAACAAAAACAAAGCGTAAACTATTCGACGCGTTTGAGCATGCAAAACTCTTGGCTCTGTAACCACTTAAGGTGAAGTTGTTTACCAAAAACCGATCCCGCGACTTGGAGCACTTATACTGACCTCAGAATTTATCGGTGGACCTGAGACATTCAAGTCGGGTACCAGATGCTGCATCTCATACGACGCACGCGCTCAGTTTTATCCGCAAGGCGCTAGCACAATTAGGGGCAAAAAGACGGAGAGGGGTCGTAATCGCCCCACCCCCCTCGGCCGGGGTATATGCAGAAAACCCAAAATTCCGTTGAAGGTTAAGCACTCAAGTGATATATTATGATGCGAGAAGGTATAGGTAAAAACAAGTATGCACACGAGCGGATGTGAATTAAACTGTGTTTGAGGTATGCCTTTTTTATTATACATTCGATTTGCTTTAGTTATTGGTAAGAACAGATACAACCAAGAAGAGCGCCCCTGAAGAAAAGGTGGCGCACCGGACGGGTGCGATTTTAAGGTCCAAGGTCAGTCGGGGACCTCTAAGTTCGGATCAAGCGCTGCATGTTAGGGTTAAAACTTAATATAAAAAAAAATGGGAGCAAACAAGCATCCCGATTTTGGCAGCATCGTCATGCTTTGTCACGGCACTCATCCACTCCCTCGGCCGAAATATTAGTTCCTTTTTGTATGAGTTCTGGCATAATCCCGCACATTATGCTGCATGTTGTTTGCCATGAAAAAAGCATGTTCAGCTACGTTCTACGCAGTACGCACTATAACCTAACCACCATCCCATCATCCACCACTAGCCACCATCCCGTTCTGTGATCCGTTCCACCCCACACGAATCAGCCGAGATACTAGTCAGTCGGGCTAGCGCTATCCTCCCCTCCCTTCCTGACTGCACAGCGCTAAAACCCAGAGCCGAGACTTCCCGAGCGCGACCTCTGACCCCACGCGGTCCGAAGGGTCGGCCGATGCCTAAGGGCGCGCCGCGCGCCGGCCACCCGGATAGCCTCTGCCGAGTCTCCCTTCCATACACCGTTTACTACGCGCTCGATTCATTCATGATTCTGTGTTTCCGCGTCCCTCTCGCTAGGTGGCACCATGGATGTCATAGGCGATCCCAGGAAGATTGCGGCCAGAATACCCCAAACGGCAGAAAATGAGGTTTTTGGTGGATATCTCGGAAAGTATTTGGCATACAACGATGAAATTTCTCAGTCTCGTGGTAAATGTGCATACACATAATCCGGGTTGATACTTATGCATTTAAACATTATATAGGACCAGATATGTCCGAAAAAGCAAAACCAACAAGACTTTTACTGGAGAGCCGTACCTTCAAAGGTGTCACCCCACGTTTCAGACCTCCTCCATCGCCGCTGATGAAGATCGGACTTGGCCGCCCCATCTCAGCGCTGGTGCGCGGCTCTGTCTGACCTCCCCCAGTCCCCGCTGTCGCTCTGTGCTGGACGCTGGTGCCCCACCTTCCACAGACCGTGGTCTGCGGGTCGGACCCCGCTGTCGCTCTGTGCTGGACGCTGGTGCCCCACCTCCCACAGACCACGGGCTGCCGCCCGACCGCCGCGCCGGCGACCGCCGCCTCTCCGCCCGCCGAGTGTCGGTCGATCGCCCGTGCCCATGGCTACACTCTCTCCATCGATAGCCTGTTTACGGCCCATCGGCTGCCTGTAGCGTGCAACTCCTCTGCAGAACGGCTATTTTTACGTCAGCAACTCATGTACGAGAAATTAATTATTCTGGGATTTACAACAGCGAGGAGAGACTGGAGCAGAAAATAGCTGTAAGCTATCTACTCTGCTCCAAAAAGGAGTTTTTATTTGATATTTGTAAAGTGCACTACATAGTACATATTCCAACTAACCGCTGCCTATTTATACTCGCCCTGTTTCGGGAAGAATAGTGTTGACAGGGCTATGTGATTTATTGTGTATTCGTGCAGGTAAGTAATTATTTACTGGGAGGGTGGCAGGTTCCTTCCCAACAACAAAAACACATCATCGTTAAGGGACCACGCATTTGTGGAAACGTCTTGCAACAGCAAATGCACTGCTGCATCTCGACATGGTGTGCAGGAGGCCAGGGCTCATTAAAAGTGAAGAATGCCGTTTATGACGCAGTGGCACATAACTGTGAGCCTCACGCGACCCTCTACTGAGGGGAGAGCAGGCCGGCGACCAGTTCACGTGATCGTTCCCAGTCAGCACGTTCGCATTTGATGGGCCATTGTACTTGGCAACTAGTTTCTTCAACGTAATTGTTGACGGGCATGCAATCTCGTTTACCGCGTTAAATCCAAAACACAAAGTTTCCCTGCAGTGCTGGTTGAGAGCCAGCGATTTCAAAAGTGTTACCGGAAAACAGTTTCTCAATAGGCATGTGTATATATGCAAACTATGGTCGCAAGGCACACAGCAGCCAGGCTACGCTGGCCGTGCTTACAAAACAGCCTGGGCTGCATTTGGGCGCATAAATCCGGACTTGCATCCATCACATTCATCCTATCTAAGATCGCCATCTCATTTCACCAGACATGCGACCTTTCCAGAAGCATCCGAACATGCACCAATCAGTGAGAGCCCACAAAATAAACACAATCTGTCACTAGTTCTGCGACGCTGCAGTTAACATAATACCACTGGTGAAAGTAGCATTCACCCCGCTATAAGCTATTCAGCGCACCAGTTTCTTTCAGTCCAGAGACACAGCTTTAGTATAGCACAACTCATTCACCAAAGACGGTGAATCTACCACAAATGTACACATAACAACATTCACTTTCAACCGACCAGCGTGCGCGGCCCTATTTGCCGCTGGACGAGCCCTGCGTCTGACTGAGTCTCCTGCTGGCGGAGGCTGACAGCGAGCCGGAGCTCCTGGCCGGGGACGAGGCCGAGGCCCGGCCCAGCGAGCGCGCCGAGCCGCTGCGCCGGCCCGTGCCGCTCGGGCTGCTCAGACTGGTCCGCGACAGGCTGTTGGCGGACGTGCGCGTGGCCGGCGTGCCCGTCCGACTGATGCTCGAGCCGAGCGAGCTGTTGGAGGACGTCCTCAGGTGGTCGCGGCTCTGGCGGTACTGGTCCAGTGCGATGTCCTGCGTGGACGTGCCGCCGTAGCTCTGGGCCCGGTACTCGGACATGTCTGACGGAATGCCGCCCTGCTCGGAGGGCAGCAGCGACCGGCGCCCGCTCTGCGACCGGGGCGACCCCTCCAGCTCGGGACAGCAGCAGAGCGCGCGCGCACAGGGCGCCGGCAGACAGCCGCGGCTCTTGCGCACCCAGTACCAGCAGGACAGCGGGATGTAGAAAAACCACGTCAGATTGAGACAGAAGAGCAGCGAGCCACTCATGCGTCGCACGGTGGGCGTCTTAGTGAGTGGGTGGACCGGATAGCCCTGTCGGTCGTACTCGACGGGGAAGTGGCGCAGCTCCTGCTCATAGTAGTGGTCGATCTTTCGCGGTTTGTCGTTGCACATGGCGAGCCCGAACAGGCCAATAGAGTCTGGGAACAGAATCCCGGCCAGCGCCTTCAGGGACCCGAGCAGCAGTCCGAGAATGGTCAGCGTGATGAGCACCAGCTCGACGTCCAGCACTATCTCAGCGATGAACGGTAACCGCGACTTGTACAGCGAGGGGATCGAGCCGAGGAAGCCCGAACTGCGGTAGTGCGACAGGGACATGGGCGTGCACGCGTACCGCTCGGCTGCGCACGCGCACAGGCAGAACCACACGCACACGCACCGATCGTGCGGGTAGGCGTGGATGCGGCGCGCCGCGACCATCTTGTCCTCGCTGTTGCGCACCAGCGCCGAGCACACGATCTTGTCTCGGATGATCTCGGAGCCGTGGTTGAGCGTGATGTTGATGGTCACCTGATTCTGCGGCGCCAGGTTGAAGGTGATCCTCTTGCTGTTGGGCACCTTGTGCGTGCAGGAGGCGATCTGCACGCTGAAGGTGGAAGACACCAGCCCGGTGTTGGTGATCACTGTCGTCACCAGCGTCAGCTGCTCACCACTCTTGGTGTAGACGTTGGTGATTTGGGCGTGCATCCCGGTGCGGAGAATGCCGATGTCATCAGCATCTACCTCGACGTCCACATAGCTGGTGTAGGGGTAGGTGTGCTTCATCAGCAGGAGATACTCTCCGGACGCGCGGTTCACCTCAATGGCGTCTTCGTGCGGCGTGCCGTAGTCGGTGAGTCGGAAGCGCAGCGCGCCCCCGGACCTCTTGTCGCGCTCCCACAGCTGGATGGGCTGGTTGTTGAGGCACGAGCCGCGCGGCCGCTCGCAGCGGTCCTTCTGCAGCGCGAACGTGCTGTACGTGGCGCCGATCTTGTCGCACGACTTGCCCGACATGTCGACCAGCGTCCTGCTGACCAGGAGGTACTCCCCGGGCCCCTGCAGCTGCGGGTACTCGCTCTTAGTCCGCTCGCTGCCCGTCATCTGCGGGATGAGCAGCATCTTGTCGGTGACGGCGGGGATCACCTGGTTCTCGCGGCGCAGCACCTTGCCGCTGTAGGTGGCCACCAGCGACTGGTTCTTCTCCATGTGGTGCATGGAGTCGGTGCCGAGCGCGATGATGCGGCCGGCGGTGACGTCTCCCCAGCGCTGGGTGCCGTCCGGCAGCTCGCGCTTCACGTACACCTGCAGCTGCAGCGAGTGGCGCAGCCGCGGCACCTGCACGGCGTTCACGTTGTACCAGATGTCGTGCAGCCGCAGGCAGTGCGCCGACGACAGGTACCTGTCCGGGTCGACGCCAACGGGCGTGTCCGCGGTGCAGTCCTGACCGCCGCGCCGCTGCGTGCTGAGCACCTGTCGGCTGCGGCGACCGCCCTCGGCCGCCCGCCGCTTCCGTGACGCTCGGCCGCCCGAGTTCACAACGGCCGAGAGGCTCGGACTTTTCGGGCGATGCATGCTGTCTGGCAATGCATCCGAGGCGTCGATCACGCTATCGCCTTTTACGCTCTCCTGTTGTCTCACTTGACGAGCATGTAATCCTGGTTCATTGTGCTCCGCATTATCAATCACGGAAAGGCCGGGTGCCTCTTTACCGAATGCGGATTGTCCAATCTCTTTCAAACCCAGTATATCATCCGCATCACTCCGCACGGGTCGAGCTGATGAAAGGCGAGGCTGCATACTGTTGTTCAACACTTGCTCTGCCAAAATATGAGCTGGCGGCTTCCCCGATGCTGTGCAGTAGCAACAAAAACCTTGACTGTAAGGGATAGGTTTTCCCTTCTTATATGCATACGAACATGTTGGATGCGATGATGACGTGTCGTCACAGCCTTTAAAGTGGGGTGTTTCGTCTTTGTTAATTACTTCTTCATGTACCAGACCATTAACAACGTGGATGTTTCTGAAAGGATATGCCTGAAGAACTGGCTGCTGACGAAAACGGATCGTTACCGGGCTCAATAGTTTAACAATTTTATTTGTAACATCGTCGTACCCATGGTCAATGTAAATGAGTTGCTCATCTTCGTCAGTTGTGTTTCCAAAATCATTTGGCCTGTTCTTGATCCACAATGATATTGCAAGTTTTCTCTGACAACGTGTTAAATGAAATGGGTACTCAGGCTCGTCCATCTCAAACTGCTGCTCCAAATCCAGTCTCCTTCTAACAATGCCAGGAAACTGGTCATCTTCATCAAAATTGTTTTCATCCTTTTCTTTTTCCTTAGCAACATCTTCAGCCCGAGTCGAAACCTCGTTACATCTTTTAATGAGAACCTTGACATCAATGGATGAATGTGCTATGTGTAGCAGTACCACATTTAGAGCGATGCAAATTACATCTCGCTTGCGCATCATCCGGAACAGCAGATATTTTCTTTGATTGTTTCACGTAAGATTGCTTCATGCATTCGTTAACTCAAGATATTGACTCATAGTACACAAATGAAGCATGCCAGGGAAACCCTTGTATAGTTCTAGTAGTTTTATTCTTAAATGACAGCCGTAAAGCAATTAATAAGGTCGCCATAAATGAACCCTAAGTGTATGCTAAAACACAAATGATTTGCCGCAAAGCGCCAGTAAATGTAGCGTCTGTAAGGCTGTCTGATAATAGATTGAGAGCACACGCGTGATACCTGTCATGCCTCCGCCAATAAAAGGTCCTCATGTGATTGACACGCGAAATCACATGAGGCATGATGATAAGGGCATGCCTCATTTCACTGCGCACTTCCCTCTTGTTCTTCCAACAATATAAAATTTCATCAAAAGCTCATGCAGGACTTAATTTTTCGTCAACTAGGTGGAAACGTTCAAGACCAATCGGCGATTCTTACACACTAGACCAATGAGCTAAAAAAGAAAGCGAGAAAACAAACACCTAATTTCAACCGATTTGTTGACTGTTGGGCTTCGAGCTACATGTAGTACTTATTTAACCCTCGCATGTGTGCGGCGTTTGCCAGCTTCTAATGTGTAGGGGGGGGGGGGGTCGGTTGGACCCCCCCCCTTGCCGTTTGGCCCCTGATCGAGCTAGAGCTTCGCGGAATAAACGAGCGTGTTGCCCGTGACGAGAGGAAGCCGATGATACCCAATTTTAATGTCCTAGGTCATTGGTTGACCTTCCAGGTCAGGTCAATGACCCAAAGTCGGGAAAATCGGGACCTATTAGAAAGTCGTAAAGTGTGGCTGCTAAGGGGTTTTTCGGGGTGCTGATCACGAATATCGTGTTAGTTTTGATCACAGATGATGTCTTGAAGCATTTAGACCAGGTCGAGTCAGGTCAGGTCAGGTCAACCAGTAGACGTCGTGACGGGTATTCGTAGTACGTGTCAACCGCCTCTGACAGCTTCGTAACATGTTACGAAGTCACCAAAACTACTTCGTAAATGTTCAAATGGTTGCTAAATTCGAATTCAGCTCCAAAAACTAGCCTAGAAACATGTAAAACTCGAAAAAGTGAACCGTGGTCACCCGAGGTCACCAAAGGTCAGTGACCTGACCTGACCTTCAGGTGACCTTGACACACACGGGAGTAACATCAAATCACATGTTTGAACGTTTGAAACCACGAAAAGCTTGCAAACACGCGGCTAGTGCGAGCCGACATACGAGAAATCGCGATTCCGGCCAAACATGGTCTCGGAAAAGAGGTCACAGGTCAAAGGTCATTTGGGTCAGGGTCATGAAATTTTCAGGGTAGGTGTAAAATTGATCAATGCGAGGGTACTGAAAGTTCCGTCGCGATCAGCCGCTTTTTACGCGAGTTATTCGCGAAAAACCATGGGGGGGTCCATCCAGGGTTGTATACCAATCAAGTCGATTGAATTGATTGATTTGATTCAGCGCGTATTTTGAGTTGATTGGATTGAGTCGATTGATTTTTCGAGATGACTGGTTGACTGACTCGTTTGACTTTAGCGACTGGTTGACTGATTTGATTCCCGAAAATTAGAGTGACTCGTATGATTGAGTCGATTGAATGGAAAGTTGAAATAAGTTTTAGTTGACGAAAAATAATGACACCAATTGATGACATCAAAGATCACAAAACTACACTGAAAACTGCTTGTCATCACAACTGCAATATGGAGTAGATGGCCAAATAAAGAACAGGGCCTAAACATTAACAGCCAACTTTGACTTTCAACTGCAATAACTGCTCCAATCCTGTGGTAGAACCTGGCGATGCACCTAACCTACCTACCTTTCTGCACTCAGCAGGAAATTTTTTTTTTAATCCAGATGATAAAGTGCAAGGCCCTATATACTAATAAAGTGTGATTAATTACTAATTCACATCTCCACATCTCCTCAGAAACAACCCACTGAACTCTATAACTATCTGAAACCCCTACAAAAATAACTGAAACAAAAGCGCCGTTTTCGTCTCGCTAATTACGTTTACATTAATAGCTAATTTGCTGCATTGTTTAATTTGCAGCAGAACGTTTGTTGATCCTTTTCTCCTGAGAGCCTAGGCATAACATATTTCATTTTCCTTAAAATATTTTACCGAATATTATTAAGTGGTTTTAGTTCAATTGAAATAATAATTAACCCTCGCCCGTAAACGGCGATCTGCCACCTTCGCCCATGCAGGGGGGGGGGGGTTGGTGCGACCCCCCCTTGGCGTTTGAAAACGGAGCGTCGTAGAGCTTAGCGGAAAAGACCAACGGATTGCTCTCGCCGAGATCTCGCGATTGGTGGTATATTTTTTGGTCCTAGGTCAACATTTGACCTACTTTTGACCGGTCAAAGGTCAAATTTTCGGAAAAATAGACTTTTTCAACTTTCCGCGGCGATTGCGGCAAAACGGTGGGAGATATCGACTTGAAACCTACACTATCGTGTTCCTTGATCAATTCTCTATCGTTTGGTATGTATTTCGTTTCCCTAGCTCTAAAAATGGCGCGTTGGGAGCGCCGGAAGTCGGCAAGGTCACAGTCGGCGGCAGAAATTCGAAAAATCAAAATTTAAATTTTTGAAATCTGATTGTATTTTTGGATTTGGGAGGTCCATTTGCTCCCTATAGAAGCTAATATTGCTGCATATTCCCATTGAGGTGACAAGAATTAGCAAAATAGTGGTTCGGGCGCTTTTCAAAAATAGTACCGGACGCTGTTCCTCTTGTGACGTCATAGCTCCGTGACTTGACCTGACCCGGTCAAGTTTCTTATACCATATGATAGCCAATACTTGCCCCAACATGCATGGGAAGTTTCATCACGATCCATCAACCGATGTCCGTACCACCGGCAGGAAACCTCGGGCGTTGGCACTCAGTTTGTGAAAATCCGGCCGGAGGCTGTTCCCTTTGTGACGTCATAACTCCGTGACCTGACATGACCCGGTCAAATTTTTTTTATCAAAAGATGCGCAAGGTTTGCCCCATAAGATACCCAAAATTTGGCGGCGCTGCGCGCCGCCGTTTTTGCACTATTTCCGAAAAACCTCAGGGGGGGGGTTGCACCAACCCCCCCTACATGGGCGAGGGTTAAAACGAAATTGGTGTTGTACAACCGATTTATTTTATGATGATCTACCATACTACATGATAATCAATGACGTCATCTTACCAAAAAATCAAAAGACGAAGAATAAGGATTTATAAAAGCTTAGCATACTTCTTTGCAAAACGTTTTCTTTGTTTTTTTTTCGCAGTTGCACCAACGGCATTTAATTTTCCTTGTTCTTCTTCCTTTGTCATTAACTTATCCTGTGGTTCCAGAGTCCCTGTCCTTTCCATTTCCTTTTAAATATATTTTTAATGCTCATCCCTATCCCCCAGTCCTAACAGTTTCAAATTGTATTGCAATAAAATGTTTTGAATTCTTCACATATAACCTATCTACCTTCGTTGGTACTGTTGGTAGCCAGTGACACATCTAGGCAGGTAAGTAGGTACCTACCTGCTTTCCTGATGTCTTCATAAAGCATACCTAATGAAGTTGTCAAATTTATAGCACATTTTCAACACTTTCATATCAATATGGTGTCAGTGTGGCATGTAACCAACCTAGCTAGGTTCATTATGTTCAGGGTTCAATTCAGAAGAGCTCCGCATAACTCACATAAGAGACAGACGGGGGCTTTACATGGGGTAGATGGCCTGATGACTTAGCTGGAATATGGCCAAAATTAAATTGACAACTTTTAGGTGAAAGGTGGTGATTTGGGTTAAGGGGCGTTTGTTGAAGTCAACTACTGGGTTATTTTGCACCCATTAAATGAAACTTCTGCTCCAATTCTACCCATTGAACCTCAATATCATGATCCACCTGTCCATCACTAGGTATCCTTCCTTATTACATAGAAACTTTGAATGGCATGGCAATTTATAATTTTAAATGACAATATTTTTGTTTCTTCTGTAGGTAGGTAGGTAGGTAGGTACACCAGACTGCTATGGACACTTTTCCAAGTTGGTGGGGCAAAAAACCTAATGTATATCTTGGTTTGAGTCGTTTGATTGAGTTGATTGATTCCTTTCATTGTCGCGTTTGAGTCGATTGAATCAATTCCCGAAAACTGCTCTGACTTGATTGATTTGATTGGTTTCCCAAATTTGTCATGATTGAATTGATTGCTATTGATTGAGTCGTATACAACCCTGGGTCCATCCGACCCCCCCTACACATGCGAGGGTTAACCCTCGCCCGTAAACGGCGATCTGCCACCTTCGCCCATGCAGGGGGGGGGGGGGTTGGTGCGACCCCCCCTTGGCATTTGAAAACGGAGCGTCGTAGAGCTTAGCGGAAAAGACCAACGGATTGCTCTCGCCGAGATCTCGCGATTGGTGGTATATTTTTTGGTCCTAGGTCAACATTTGACCTACTTTTGACCGGTCAAAGGTCAAATTTTCGGAAAAAAAATAGACTTTTTCAACTTTCCGCGGCGATTTCGGCAAAACGGTGGGAGATATCGACTTGAAACCTTCACTATCGTGTTCCTTGATCAATTCTCTATCGTTTGGTATGTATTTCGTTTCCTTAGCTCTAAAAATGGCGCGTTGGGAGCGCCGGAAGTCGGCAAAGTCACAGTCGGCGGCAGAAATTCGAAAAAGCAAAATTTAAATTTTTGAAATCTGATTGTATTTTTGGATTTGGGAGGTCCATTTGCTCCCTATAGAAGCTAATATTGCTGCATATTCCCATTGAGGTGACAAGAATTAGCAAAATAGTGGTTCGGGCGCTTTTCAAAAATAGTACCGGACGCTGTTCCTCTTGTGACGTCATAGCTCCGTGACCTGGCCTGACCCGGTCAAGTTTTTTATACCATATGATAGCCAATACTTGCCCCAACATGCATGGGAAGTTTCATCACGATCCATCAACCGATGTCCGTACCACCGGCAGGAAACCTCGGGCGTTGGCACTCAGTTTGTGAAAATCCGGCCGGAGGCTGTTCCCTTTGTGACGTCATAACTCCGTGACCTGACATGACCCGGTCAATTTTTTTTATCAAAAGATGCGCAAGGTTTGCCACATAAGGTACCCAAAATTTGGCGGCGCTGCGCGCCGCCGTTTTTGCACTATTTTCGAAAAACCTCAGGGGGGGGGGGGGTTGCACCAACGAGGGCGAGGGTTAACATTACTGGGCATTCTGCATATGAAAAATGGGAATTATAAACATCCCA